GAATCACTTTCATCACAGCAACCAGGGATTTATGAACTGCCAGGACACACCACCTCTGGCCTAGGAGTTACTGGAACTACATCATATCATCCCAGAGCTCTGTGCTTACCTGGATCAGCACCCCAGGCTGGTTGTCAGAGTAAGTGGTGAAGGTCTGGGTCTGCTTGGTGGGGATGGTGGTGTTGCGCTTGATCAGCACCGTCATGACACCTCCAGCTGTCTCAATACCCAGGGACAGCGGAGTCACATCCAGCAGCAGCAGGTCCTGCACATTCTCAGACTTGTCTCCAGACAGAATAGCAGCCTGCACAGCTGGAGGAGAGAAAGGATAAGTGTTAGAAACCAGACAATGCTACGTAGATAAACTGTATACTACAGTCATGCACATGGCTCGCTCAGACATCCAAGGAAGACTTTGGCCATCATTAGCAGACTTCTGGTGGAAACTACGAATGGCTTTGGAATCTGATTCATCATTGCAAGTCCAAGGAAGATTTTGCTGGTTTGTAGAGCTTTAGTGACCCAGGTGGAAAGCACAGGGCCTACACCTGTCCTGCTCTGAAACTTAACCCGGCAGAGTTTGCACCACCACCTCCCATGTGAGTGACAGTTACCTGCACCGTAGGCCACGGCCTCGTCAGGGTTGATGCTCTTGTTGAGCTCTTTGCCGTTGAAGAAGTCCTGCAGCAGCTTCTGGATCTTGGGGATGCGCGTGGAGCCGCCCACCAGCACGATGTCGTGGATCTGCGACTTGTCGAGCTTGGCGTCCCTCAGGGCCTTCTCCACGGGGTCCAGGGTGCCTCGGAACAGGTCGGCGTTGAGCTCCTCGAAGCGAGCCCTGGTGATGGAGGTGTAGAAGTCGATGCCCTCGTAGAGGGAGTCGATCTCGATGCTGGCCTGGGTGGAGGAGGACAGGGTGCGCTTGGCGCGCTCGCAGGCAGTGCGCAGGCGGCGCACGGCGCGCTTGTTCTCGCTGATGTCCTTCTTGTGCTTGCGCTTGAACTCGGCGATGAAGTGGTTCACCATGCGGTTGTCGAAGTCCTCCCCACCCAGGTGGGTGTCCCCAGCGGTGGATTTCACCTCAAAGATCCCATCTTCGATGGTGAGGATGGACACATCGAAGGTGCCGCCGCCCAGGTCGAAGATGAGGACGTTCCTTTCAGCACCCACCTGGGGGAGATCAATGTTTATTAATTCACCTCCTATTGCTGGGTTACCAATTTTCTATTTGGTCACCAGACAGTTGAATAGATATTATATAGACTCTAATACAGCTTTTAGTAGTTTTAGAATAGAAGCCTTAGCTAAGCACCTTTTGCACTAGATTCCTACAATGTTGTTTAATGTTTCTTGTCAAGAATTCCAACAGATAATGACTTTTAGGACATTTTAGCTGTACAAACACGTAACAGGCGCATTGCTGAGTCAAAGTTGCTCAGAGGACTCAGAGGCCTTGAAGCTATTCCAAGAAACATGTGGAGTTGTAAGTATGTTCACGCCTATACTATTGTGTGTACAATATGTATCTTGTGTTTCATTAAAGAACTGATTTGTACCTGTTTATACTCAAAATTAACCAGAAAATTCTTTCCTTGTTTTAGGTAACAGTGACCACTCCATACCTTCTTGTCCAGCCCATAGGCAATGGCAGCTGCTGTGGGCTCGTTGATGATTCTCAGGACATTGAGCCCTGCAATGGTTCCAGCATCTTTCGTGGCCTGGCGCTGGGAGTCGTTGAAATAGGCTGGGACAGTCACCACTGCGTTAGTAACAGTCTGCAAAATAACAACCAACAGCTCAGTTACCCCTGTTAACTGCTCAGAGAATTACTCACGACACTCCACTCCAGTCTTAAACCTCACCTTTCCAAGATAAGCCTCTGCAATTTCCTTCATTTTGGTTAAAACCATGGAAGAAATTTCTTCTGGGTAGAAGCTCTTTGTCTCGCCCTTGTACTCCACCTGCACTTTGGGCCTGCCAGCATCGTTCACCACAGTGAAGGGCCAGTGCTTCATGTCAGACTGGACCACAGAGTCGTCGAATCTGCGCCCAATCAACCGTTTTGCATCTGGAAAACACGCCATTGAACCGTTGTTATTATGTTTATTTATGATTAAAAACAACAAATTCTTCCTAAAAATGTAGAAAATCGTGGAATATTATCCTTAACCTGGAATTATTACTGTCTAGCTGCAGATAATACAAAATTAATTAACAGTAATCTAGGTGCATTAATCAGGCTAAAGACAAATTATGGCTTTTAATTTACAAGAGAAAGCTCTAACCCTGCTATTAGTAACTATTGTAATCAGGTAACGTTTATCACTGTGCTGAGTTTCTGTACACCAAGTCTGCCAGTCCTGCAGCCTTACCAAACACTGTGTTGGTTGGGTTCATGGCCACCTGGTTCTTGGCAGCATCTCCAATCAGCCTCTCTGTGTCTGTGAAGGCCACATAGCTCGGTGTGGTCCTGTTCCCCTGGTCATTGGCAATGATTTCCACCTTCCCGTGCTGGAACACGCCAACACAGGAATAGGTGGTGCCAAGATCGATCCCGACAGCTGGTCCCTTCGACATCTTGTCTGTAAAATAAAAAAAGGCAGTTTTTTTTAAGATTCCTTCTGATCTAAATCTCTCTGCTACTCCAGGATGACCCCTGCAGTGCCATTCCCGTTACCCCACGTGGCACCGGGTGCATTCCCACCTTCCGCCGCTTGGCGTCCCTTGCGCCCCCCCCACCTCGTGGGGTGGGACTACAAGTCCCGGCGTGCCCCGCGCCGGGTGACGGAAGCAGCGGGGCGGGCCCGGGGGCCGCCGGGAAATGGGAGTCCCTGGCACAGCCCCAGCCCCGTGCGGCACCGACCCCGCCGCGAGCCGCCCTCCCGCAACACCCCGCACGTGGCCGCTTCTCCGCTCCCCTTCCTTCCTCCCTCCCCACCTTCGGGCACTGCATCCGCCGGGGCGGCCCCTCAGGAGGACGCTGGCGCGCTACGTTTCCCGCAGTCCTCCGCCCTCCCGCCCGTTTCGGTAGGAGAGTGG